GCATGATAGGGAGAGGCGTCTAATGAGATGCAGATTTAATGGCAGACACAGGTCATGCATGGTAGGTACCATTCATGGAAAGAAGATCAATTGGTATCTTTAATTTCTTGGTTCACCTCTTAATTTTGTATAAAATAAGTACTTTTTCTTTCAAAATCACTCTGTGTGACATAAAATAAAATAAAGAGAACAATAAGTTACACAATCTACGTTGTCAAAAAAATCAAAAAATAATATAATAGAGTGTCGTGTTGAACAATCCGTGTCACCAAACGAATCAAAATCTGCATCCAATCAAAATTGCAGAAAAGCTCGATTTAGCTTGGAAACAAAATGCAATATGGGTTGTCAGATGCGGACCACCATTGGTCCATTGCTAATAATTACTATGTTTATATTTAAAAATAAAAAATAAAAAAAAAATCATGGCATAAAAGCAAGAGAATTATGTATGAAGCACAATTTAATTCTATTAAAATAAATCATTTTCCAAATGATGACTCAAGGTTACAACAACAAAAACTACCAAGATACACTACTGTATGCATTCATATAAAATTCCCAATTTCCCCACCAATTGGAGAATTTCAAGCCCCCGTTGATACTTTTAGGGGACAGTAAAATAAATATAGGGCGTATTTAGTACGCTGAATTGGACAGTATTTTTTCTTTAATGTCCATCGGTACAATCTACGAAGAAGCCAATAATAGTGGAAAATTGATCAAAGTCTTCAAACCAAAAGCTGAAAGGGCTTTATTGAGCCCTCTAGATACTCACTCTCTCATCTAAGATTAGTTTAAGTTCCTTAGGTTCTAAGACAAGCCATTAATGTACAAACTTTAACTAGTAACATAATGGCCATCACTTTCATGCTTAACAGCATGAAAAGGATGGATTATGCTTGCTAAATAATTATGTTTGGTCAATGATGATTTTGGTGAACAACTTTTTGAAACTTGGGTGAAAAATCTTGTCCTATTTCCCTATTCATCAGAGCCCTCTTGTTACTGAATAATCCAGTACTATTTCCTGGAGAAGAAATGGTGACTGGTGGAATGTCAATAGAGTTTAGTTGGGGGGGTGGGTGCTGCCATTGGGGTAGGGGTCCAGCCAGGAGAAGAGTGTGAAGAAGGGGTCCAGCTTCCATTACTGCTTGCAAGAACTTTCCTTTTTCTGGTAATGACTTCTTCGGCATAATTTTCTCCGGCGATAGGACGTCGGAAAATGTTTCAGGCAATGGTGATGGTGCAAAGTTGTTTTCATCACAATCTGAAGAGGGACGCCCTATGTTGTTCTCATCTTCATTGCTGTTAATACCACTTGAAGGTGCAGATTCTATGTTCTGTTTTGGGGACTTTTTTTGCATTTCTACTTGTTGGAAAATAAGCTGATTTTCCAACACGAGTGTTTGGCATTTTGCTTCGAATTCGTCCCTTTCTCTTATAATCTTCGATAAGAGATTTTTGAGGTGGAGAATTTCATCATCTTTTCTTGAAAGTTCTTCATTTGCAGAGAGGATAGCTGTCTGTAGCTCCAAAGTTGAGTACAAGAGAGAATGCTTTAAGTCCTCAATCCCCTAAATCAAGCACCACAATGCACATTACGAACTTAATTTCGAGTAAATTGGGTCGGTTACACTAAACCCTTTTCGTACCCCCAAAAAAGAAAAAGAAAATTCAAGTTCTTGATAATCAAATGGCACATTGTAATTACAGAGTACACATCTTAACAAAAACCCAAATAATAAAAAAGAATAAAAAACTACAACAAACTAAGCATAATTTCCAATAATTTTCGGTCAGCCACTTGAAACCTTGTTACCCCGTTCAGTAAGTTAACCACAAGAGCAGAACTCAGTCTGAATCTTTGTACTTAAAAAGAAGAAAACACGAAAATATAAAAAGAAAGTGAAATTTCTTGAAAAGAACAAACTTACATCTTCTTGATAGTAGTAAGCCCAGCTAAGAGGACTGCACTGATCTTCCATATAGATTAAGTTTTTTGTCTAATTTGGGACAAAATGTTGTCACATAAAGAAAGAATATGTTTTATGAGGTGGTTACACTTCTTATAAATGGTTTTCAAGTGGGCAGTTTGCTTTTTTATCTTTTACTTTTTTGGGTCATAGGACATATATGGTTGGAGAGAGACAGAGGAAAGGCCAAAAGCATGAAAAGGTAAGTGTGGCTAGCGGTTAACTTTATACTAATAGATTCTTAGTACACGAGGACCCTTTTACTGTGAAGGATGTTGAGAATGTGAATCCATGGAGGAAAGTATA